TCACAACATAATTGTTGATGTAGGTTACAAATAAGTCTTACATTGATTTGAATTGAATTCGTTGCTTTGCTGCTTTGTTCACTGTGGCTTTGTGGGCTAATGTTTGTTGTGTTTTGTAGGAAAACCAGCCAACAAAATGCTGGAATGTGATTGGGCCCCTCTATCAACCTGGGTCAGACCGAGTTTAAAGCTGCTACCACAGCCAGATCTGATCAGTGAAGAGAGAGAGCGAGATCGAAACAGCCATGAAACGTCCGCATATATGTGCCCAAGGGTTGTACTGAAGCAATCGAGTGATGAATAACTGTTTTCCACTGTTGTTTTGATATGTTGCATTTTTTATTTGTTTTTCACTGAAGCAGCTAATAAAGCATACTGGAATACAATGTTGCCTCTTTCCTGTAAGATTCTCTAACAGAACGAAACAATGATGCCAGTTATAAATAAAGACAATAAATTGAATGAATTACGAAACACTCATTTTATTTCTATTAGATCTGAAAATGTTGTGTAACACTACAACCTGAAACAATAAACAGATTGTGTTGGCCTGTAACAGCAGCTGTGAGATGGAATCGTCCAAATCACCAAAGTAAACTGGAGCTGAGCTTGTTGCAGGATCTGAAGTTACTAAACATGTTGTGAGTGTATGCACTCACACTTAGGACCATATAATAATAAATATGTGCGTGATGAAAGTTGGGCAGCAAGTAGGGATTAAAACTGCAGAATTAATGATTAGCGGTGCTGGAAATACTAACGCTTGATGCAGTGTTTTGATTTTGCAGCCACTCGTACCCACAATGCAATGCGCGAAAGTCATCTGTGGTCTGTCGATCTCTATTGTGGTTATATGAATATTCATAGGTTCATTAACATATGACGTCTTACAGAGGCATATATGAGAACAAAGAGTACCTTGTCTGTGTGTGTGTGTGTGTGTGTGTGTGTGTGTGTGTGTGTGTGTGTGCGCGTGTCAAGATGTGATCCTGTGAATGACTCCCCAAAGCTGGTCCCAGGAGTCCAGCGGTCCACCTAAACAAAAGGCACTTATACAGATACACAGCAGGTGTCCTCCTATACCATAAATCAGTAAGAGGAGGTACGACCTCTCTCATGACCTTAAGATGTGTGTGTATGCCAGAGCAGTCTGGGAGGCTGTGAAGTAGTCAGACTCGAACGTCAAGGAAGGAGGTGGGAAGCAGACATTTCAGATTTCCAGAGGTGAGCAATTTATTTACAGTGAACTTAATTTAATGTAACTTAACAAAACTTCCCCCAAATCAACTCAATTAACAAACCTCAACAGACCATGGCCCTGGTAACTCAGCTCACCTCTGCTCTCTGCTGCATCTGGTAG